TAACTGAAGGGTCGTAGTGTTAGGTTAAATCTCTCATAGTTCTAATATCTTAAATATTGAAAAATTCATTAAATTTGATACTCACTTTTAAATCAAAAAATTTCTTCTAAAGAAACTAACTTGTATAGTGCATGAAATAGTGAAATTACTTGGATACTTAAGTTTTTGTGATAGTTTTCTCTTAATTATATCACTATACTCTTCACTAAGGGCTACTATTTCAATTTCTTCCAACTTGCGTTTTTTATTTAATGTCCTTCAAAATTTTAACATAGCTAGATGTTTATTCAAGAGTTTTATCAAATGAAATGTTAATGGTAAGCTTCTTAAACATTTCTAAGTACTTAGAGAACTGATGATCCAATGTTTTTTTAGATAGTCTTTGAGAAAAAAAGTGATGATGGTCTCTCAAATTCTTTCGTAGGAGGTGAAGGTGTTTTCCCTAATGAATGTTTTTCAAGAGGTCTCTTAGGCTTAGACTCTTCTTTTATGCCAGGCTCTTCCCTAAATACCTTCTTTAACTCTTTTCCACTTCTCAATCTTATGGCATTATATTGTTCCTTTCCTTGGTCCTTAAGATTCATCTTAGTGTTGCTTAGTAACATCCCTTGGGATCTCTGACTCAATGAATTAGCTAATTGCAAAATTTTATCTCTATGTTCCTTATGATTGCAACTTGATTGTGTATTGGATTCCCATTTGCAACCCTACTTCCAATGATAATATCTTCTTTTTAAATTGAGGATTAAAGTGAATCTTGGTGGATAGGTAGGTCCCAGGTTGTTGTTTCTCTGATTGTTCCAATTACTTTAGGTATTAGGTCTGTTACTATCCAAAGTGTAATTTTTTACGTTTTGATTGTTAATCCAATTAAAATTTGAGTGATTTGTGCTTATTGGGTATGTTGTTTATTGCATTCAGGGACTCTAGATCACTAGGATCAACAAACTCACCATACATATTCACTTCAATTGTTGGTGAACTTGGTGTAAAATTTAAACCTAAGCTGTCTAGTTTTCTCAATATAGTGGTTACTTATGAAGTCAAAAATGTTAACACATCAATTTCATAGGCATTGAATATTCATCTATGGTTTATTCACTCAGAATGCCATTGGAAATTGTTGGTGGTCATCTCTTTATAAGTGTATAGACCTCCTCAATAGTTTTAGACATTAAAGTTGGCCAGATGCAGCGTCTGCAAAAGACCTCAAAGATCCTACTAGCCCGTTATAAAAGCCTAAATAATTAACCATTCAGGTAGAGCATAGTATGACATTTTCTAAGCAACTTCTTAAATATCTCTTAAGCTTAATAAATTGACTCACTCTTTAACTGGGTGAAAGAATTTAATGTCATTTCTAAGCTTGACAACTTTAGAAAGTGAAAAGTACTTACTCAGAATTTTTTGCGTTATATTAGTTCAAGTGGTGATAAACCCTAATGCTAAAAATTTAGTGTTATCTTAGTCTTATCTCTAAGTGAAAAAGAAATAACTTAAGTCCAACTTCGTTGTTAGGGACACGTTAAACCTAAAGGTCGCACATAATTCAAGAATGTTGGCTGAGTGCAAGTTAGGGTCTTCAATAAGTGAACCTCCAAATTGGTTATTTTGGATCATTTGGATTATGACAAACTTCAGTTCAAAGGTATCGGCTTTTACGACAGGGTTATTGATATTTTGGTGAATCTATTCTACTGAAGGGTTAACATAGTCCCTAAGTGGTCTAAGATGAATATTTTCTTCTGGAGGGTATGCCATTGCTCCTAATTTCGTGTTTAAGTTTTATATGTTTTTAAATTTTTTGGTAAATTTTTTTAATTTCAAGGTCAAATGAGACTAGTTTAACGGTTTCAATCCTACGCATACACGCATAGGACTAACTAGTGATAACCCTAAACTAACAAAATAAACAAATATAGGGTATAATATACATAAAACAACAATCACTCTTAAGCCATAATGTGCAATAAATAAATAAAAAATCACAAGTCACAAAATTTTTACAATTTTTCAACACGATTTATAACAACACAATTAATGAAAGACACAAATAACATACAAAATGTCAATAGCAGTGTGAGCTTCAAATCTAAAATTCAAATTTTCAATTAAATTTTCATAAATTAAAAATTAAGGTCGTTCCTCGGCAATGACAATAAAAACTTAATCCACGTGGCGGTGAAGTAGACTCCAACGATGTAAATATACACGTCCATCAAGTAGTGTATGCATTTTTTTAGTATGTGTATCCATCCCATAGAGAACATGTTAATTTTCATGAAAATGAAAGTTCTAGTTTATTAATCATTGTTCTAGTTTGAAGAGTCAAAATTTTTAAAATTTTAAAGTGTCTAAAATCCTTTTGCAAAAGTCAAATCCTAAGGAATGAGAGTAGGGTTTTCTATCAAGTGAGAGAATTTGTCTTGAATTGGACCTAAGAAACCTAGAGTTATGCAAGTAATTCAAATATTGTTGACAATTGGAAGCAGGTCTACTTCTTAGCCTCTTCCAAGGTCAATAAGAAGACTTGGGATTTCATATTACAGTTTAGGGTCTGTTTGGGGCAGCTGTAGCTTATTGAATAATCTACTGATAAACTGATTAAAAATAAGCTGCTGATAAGTTAGGTGCGGTGGTTATTACAAATTTTTATTTTTTTTGGAAAAGTCAGATCGTTGTCAATAAGCTTCCACTGCACCTAGATAGACGTTGTGTGAAAACGTTGTTTTCTACGTTTTGAAAACGCATAAGCTGCCAAAACGCAATTTATCCAAACAGATCAGATGCATTTTCAAAATGCCACCGCACTAAATAAGGTGCCCCAAACGGACCCTGTCTCCCAAACCATGCAAAAACCTTAGGATTTTGTGTTTCTTTATTGATTACACTATCCTAGCAGCAATATTTGTTTTCGCCTAAAACAATGTATAATTTTTTCACCAGCATTCTTCAGTAGTCCTAGATCACAACGTATTTTAACATTCTAAGTGGTTAATTTGGAAACAAATAAAACTGTAAAGTAAACATATCAACATATTCCAAAAGATTTAAATAATCACATAACATTGATAATTCTAAGCTAGATTACCAATCCAAGAGATAGATGAATTTAGTTACTAAACCCGATAATTTTTTTGCGTCACTCCACAAGGATTCTGCTTTACAATGTATCTCTACTTGACAACACTCTTATAGTCTTACAATGTTTAAATCAACTCACTAGTCTCTCCCTAACACTCCTCTTTCTCAACTTCCCCGCAAATCTCTCTCATAGCATTTTGGGATTGGAAAGATAGTCAGGGCACCCCTAATTCTTTGATTCCAAGATTTTTAAACCAATGGTATTGCCACATGGACACCAAACTGCCAAAATTTCTCAAAATCAGTGTTGGACTCCTAGGCGTCAGCGTGTAGAACAAAATTTTTGAGCTTTTAGACTTGCATGGTGTAAAAGGATCATGTTCATGCGCCTAGGCGCCGATGTGGGCCTATTTTTCTGCTTTGGGTGCCTAAGCACCTAGTTCTCAGTCCTTCACGCGTTTCTTGGTTTGAACGCCTCAACTCTTGGGTAGAGCGCCTTCTTTTTGGGTTCTCGATTTCCCTAGTAGAATGTGAGCTTCTTATGGTGCCTAAGCGCTTCGGTTGAGCGCTGGGACGCCAGAAAATGAGTTAGGATAAATTTGCTTATAATGGACCCCCTTACTAACCTGCCATCAATAACTTGCAAAACATACAAAAATACACTGAAACAAATATAAAAATAATATAAATAATCAAGAAAATATAAGAAATTACACCACACATTTCAAACACGTCATAGGGCTAGTTGTTTTTTGTCGAGAGAGGAAGAAGAGCATGCATTGAATTGATTTTGAAGAAAAAATATTATAATCCCACAGAACTCAAGAAAATGAGTTTTGGGACCTCCCAATAAAACTTTGGAGGATTTACATACATACCACTCAATTTCTATGTATTTCAATATCTACCACCTAAACTTTAATTTTTACATACATGCCACGTTACCTATGCATGAAATGTATATATCACGTTTTAAAACTTAAAATGGTGATATTTTTGATGTGATATGAAGAATTTGGGTGGTTTAAATGTAAAAAGTAAATTTTAGGTGTTGATATGTAAATGCCTAGGAATTGGGTGATATGCATATAAATGCCCCTAAAATTTTTTTCTTGAGTATAAAGAGAATTACAAATTCCAACCATGCCTACGCTCTATTGCTAATTTGCTAGTCCGTATGAATAAATTAATGAGAAGGTAAATATATTTTTATCTTCACATTAAAACATGGATGAATGCATTTCATCATGATGGAGAGGCTGAGGAATGCCAAAGTTCATGCAGGACTGTAACTCTCCATGAAAGAAAGTGGGTCATGCCAAATGTCAAAGGCTTGGTTATACATGGCAGCACGTCAATTAAAGTGTCATTTACATATATACTAATATACCACCCAATTCTTATGTATTTACATATTATTTTTTGCTTTTACAACACCTAAAGCCTTCGTATTACATCAAACGTGTCACTCTATTAACTTTTAAAAAGTGAAATACACCTTTTCATTCATAGGTAAGATGGAATATAAGTAAAAATTGAAGTTTAGATGTTAGATATGTAAATCCATAAAGAATTGAGTCGTGTGTATGTAAATCTTCCCAAATTAAAATAAACTTTCTGTTGACCTTTGGATCAATTCCCTATACAATAATGTTTTCCACTGGAAAATTGCAGTTAAATCTCATTCCACAAAATTTTAGACTTCTGAACTAGTATTGGCTGCTTAACATTGATCGTCGACATCCGTAAATATATAATATTCTGGACTTCTCACCTGCTTATAACATTGCTTGCAGATGTTTCAGTCTTCTTATAATTACATGTTGGATGTTTCAATATTGAATCATTTTGTAATTGGAATATTTACACGTAGCTGCTTATTTTCCTAATATCTTACATTTATTTTCCTCTTTCAGCAAAAGCCCTCGAGCTATTTCTTCAGGACCTATGTGATAGGGCTTATGAAGTGACTACCCAGAAAGGCGCAAAAACATTGAATTCTTCACACCTGTAAGTTGACCGTTAGAATATTTTTTGTCTTACATTTTGCTGCATAATGATGCTGCAGATGCCTATTTTATATTTATGGTTTTCCTTTTTCCTCTTTTTTATTAAAATAATTTTCTTATATAAAGTAAATATTGTTTTTTATTAAAATAACTCTTGTATCTCTTTTGCTTGAAGCCTATTGAAAATGAAAGCTTAAATTATTCCTGCCATGCCTAATGAATTGATTTTGAAACCTTCTATTCATTAGAGAGGTAATTCAGTGTGCTCTCATAACTATTATTCACTAGAGAGTTAACAGTGTGCTCTCATCTGGATTTTAAAGTTAGCATCTTGATTTACAGTGGTGGCCAATGATTTATGGTGATGCATTTAGGTGATGGTTTGATCTCCACCTTCAAGTTAGCTTGGGCCCACTACAATATCCTCTAATTCTCAGTGAAAATGACTAATTTTAACCTTTAATTGTAGACTTGTTCTACCGGAGGAGTTGCCTCCAAAGTGATACAGGGTTGGATTTGATCATTTGATTGTATCTTTTGAGCCAGATAATTATACTTTCCCAGTTATGAATGTGCCTAGAAATATTCAGTTAAATTTTGCCCCCAAATCTTAGATTTCCTTGTACAATTCATACCACCTGTTTTTTTGACTGGCAACGTCTAGTTCTACTAGGACTGGTGCCAATGAAAGAAGCCAGAGAGTGTAGAGTGGATTGATTGAAATAATTATAAACGAAGCCTAGAACATTCAATATAGATTGATGGGATAGGTGGTTCCTCAGAATAGTCAAAAAAAGAGGTTATCATTATAGTATATATATTGAAAGTCACTGATATGAAATGTCCTTCGAGAGAAAAGCCTAATGTAGTTTGCTTCTAAAACAAATTTGATAATATTATTTTTAGAGTCAATGTGCCCATCAGAATGATAAAGAGAGCAAATCTGATAAGAGCTTGCTAAGGTTGAAGTTATGGGGTTTGGATGGTAGGAGGTTAGGGGCTTGTAGTAATGAAGATGTCCAAGGCGATGGTTGAGGTGAAGGAAATAGTGTTTGAGCATAACTAACTGAGAAGAATTCCTCACCAAGGGATTCGACCAAGGAAAGGCCTCCAAGCTGTCCAAGCAAAAGGTTCTATGTTGCACTGATACGAACATGGGGGCACGGATACGTGGTATTTTTTTTTATTAAAAATATATGACACTGATATTTGTCAGATATGGAATTATAATATAAATTATGAATGAATTGATAAAAATAAAATAAATAAGAAGAAAGCAGAGTTGATGAGAAATTTAATAACTTTAATTTTCAAAAGTTAAGGGATCCATAGATATATTATTTAATTTATGATATAGAAAAAATAAGCACTAATTATTTTGTATTCATCAATATTAAGAATATCTTAATCAACTATTCACTAAACGGAATAAAAGGATTAATTTATTTGACATGCATTTATACATCACCTCCACTGCCATCATTATTAAATTTATAGCTTTCAATCTAACTTATCAAGAGAAATGTTTGCAATCTCTAAAATTCTTATATCATTGAATGTCTCAAATCTATCTCATGCAATATCTCACATCTTGTTATCATGTTTCCATATAATTTGGAGTCTTTCTTGATAACTTTTAAATATAAAAATAGAATAATTTTTAAAATTTTAATCTTAAAAATATTTTTAGAAATTTTGATTTACACTCGTCTCTTTTTTCTAAATATTATTGAGACACTTTTATGTCATGTCCAACACACATTGAAGTTGTGTTTGTGTTCGATACTTGTCTGACATTGCATCATATCTTACTTAGGATTGTTTGTGCATCATAGAACACGTCGAAGTCTTCCACATCAAATCTAACAAATAAATAATTCCATTATGCATAATAGGGTTCAATTGAATAGATATGAATTCCAATTTATACATCACCCTCCACTATCATGATTATTAAGTATATAGCTTTCAATCTGGCTCATCAAGATAAGTGTTTGTAATCTCTAAAATTCGTATATCATCAAATATCTCAAATCCATCTCATACAACATCCTATCATGTTCCCGTGTAATTAGGAGTCTTTCTTGATAACTTTTAAATATAGAAATAAAATATTTTTTAAAAAATTTTAATACTAGAAATATTTTTAGAAATTTTAAATTTACACTTGTGTTTTTTTTCTAAATGTTATTTAAATCAGACACTTGTATGTCATGTCTAACACGTGTTCAAGCTTTATTTGTGTCTGATACTTGTCTGACACTACACGGCTCTTTAATTATGATTGTTTGTGCATCATAGAAGAGGTTGAAGTCTCACACATCAAATCAAACAAAACAATAATTTCATTTACGCATAATAGTGTTCAATTAAATATACATGAATTCCAATTTATACATCACCTTCACTATCATCATTATTAATTTTTTAGCTTTCAATCTGACTCATCAAGAGAAATGTTTGCAATCTCTAAAATTAGTATATCATACAATGTCTCAAATTCTTCTCATGCAACATCTCATATCTTGTTATCATGTAGACATGTAATTTGGAGTCTTTCTTGATAACTTTTAAACATAAAAATAGAATATTTTTTTAAAATTTTAATCTAAAAAATATTCTTCAAAATTTTAAATTTACACCCGTGGCTTTTTTCTAAATATTATTTAAATTAGACACTTGCCTGTCTTGTTAAATAGAATATTTTTTTAAAATTTTAATCTAAAAAACATTCTTCAAAATTTTAAATTTACACCCGTGACTTTTTTCTAAATATTATTTAAATTAGACACTTTCCTGTCTTGTCTGACACATGTTGAAGCCGTGTCCGATACTTGTCTGACACTACACCGCTCTTTATGTAGGATTGTTTGTGCATCATAGAAGAGGTTGAAGTCTCCCACATCAAATCAAACAAAACAATAATTCCATCATGCATAATATGGTTCAATTGAATAGACATGAATTCCAATTTGTTCTTTGAAGATAAGAAACAAATTAATAATTTCCATGAAAGTTACTAACTACAAAATAAATAAATAAATAAATAAACTTCTATGAAGGAGTTGCTGGCCACAACTGCTTTGAAATTTGATACTACTCTTTGAATTGTGTATAGGTTTTTTTTAGCCTTGAATTGTTTGTGGTGTGCCAACCAAATTTAGATTTGAATGGGGGAGAGTTTGCCGATGCTATCCAAACCACCATACTTTTAACAATTACATGAAACAATCAAATCAGCTAATTACATGATTACTGTATAGTGATGAGATTTAATTTATGATTTTTTTCATGGTCATATGCACGCAGCTCGACTTTCTGCATCAGATGTTATGCTTTCTTATGATTAAAATCACCCAATTAATCTTCTATTTAACTTTCTTTTTATCTTTGGCATTAAGCTCAACAAATATATGCTCCACCCACCTACTGCACCATGCAATTATTCATCATCATTATCCCAACATAGTAATTTATCCTGTTGTCATATGCGGCGCCTACTTAGATCAGTTTTATGTATCCTCATTATACTTAAATTTCACTTGGGCTGTTATATATAATTTATTAAAACATCAGCCAACTATCTGGACCTTGAAGCATGAAATTTAAACAAAATAGCTAGGTCAAAAAATTTTGGAAGATTTACATACACACCACTCAATTCCTATTTATTTACAAATCTAACACCAAAGCTTTAGTTTTTGCTTATATGCCAAAAGCTGTATTTCACTTTCTAAAAAAAAAAACGATGTTTCTTAAGTGATAAGTGAAAGATTTGGGTGGTAGAAATATGGCTAGCAAATTTTAGATGTTGGGTATGTAATTACATAAGAATTGAGTGGCTTGTATGTAAATACCCCAACAAATTTATGCATATATATATATACACATCTAACATCTCAACTTTAATCTTTTACACATATGCCACCTTGAAAAGGTGTATCACTTTTTAAATGTGAAAAAATTTTGGTATATTTTAGGTGATATTATACATTTGGATGTATACATGTAAAGTTTAGGTGTTACGTATATAAATACATAGGAAATGAGCGGTATGTTTGTATAAATGCCTCTATATATATGGGGGTGTAAACGAGCTGAACACGAGCTGAGCATGAGTATAAATGCTC